TTATAGCATTTTTTGAACTTCTCGAATGATCTTCTAACCATTTTAATATACGAGTTGGTTCCAGATATCGAGAAGTCTTTTTAGAATTTTTTACTTTTCTTAATTTCTTATTTGTATTTAAAGGCATTGAGTCATCTTTAACTTCAGCTTCCACGTCAGATAAATTATCATTTTCATCAGCTAACATAGCAAATCGATTATTACGACGTTGTCGACGTCTAAATGAAGACGTAGTTTTACGTTGTCGTTGATTTGGTTGTTGTTGCAGTTGTTTATTTTGATTATTTCCAGTAACTGTGAAAGGTTGAGTAGTGTTGTTTTGAACAAATCTTTCACGCTGTGGTAATGCATCTGATGGGGCATTTACATTAGTTATTGCCGGTGCTGTAGTTGTAGCTATATTAAAATCAGGTGGAAGATTTGGCGAAGGTTCACGTAATTCAGTTGGCATAAAATCATTCAACCGAATTTGCCGTGGCCCTTGTCTTCTTGGACCATTACCTAATCGACGTCGACCAGGTGGTCTAACAGTTTGTTCTTGTCCTTGTCCAGGACTTACGAAGCCATATCCACCTCTATCATACAGATTGGAATTTTGTCGTGGTATACGATAATTTCTATTTCTATAATTTCGATTATAAAAATTGCGACGGTTACGTTGATAATTTTGATTATAAAAATTACGATTATAGAAGCGATTGCCTCTATTATAATTATTATTGCGCCCAACATAATCATTGCCCCTTATATAATCATTGCGCCGTATATAGTCATTGGGCCCTACATAAACATTACGCCCTATATTGTCAATGGGCCCTCTATTATTAATGGGTCCTATATAACCATTGCGCCCTATGTAATCATTGCGTCCTATATTATCATTGCGCCTTATATAATCATTGGGCCCTAAGTTATAATTGCGCCCTACATAATCATTGGGCCCTATACAATTATTGGGCCCTAAGTTATCATTTCGCCCTACATAATCATTGGGCCCTATATAATCATTGGGTCTTATATAATCATTATAATCATTGCGCCCTATATTGTTATAATCATTGCGCCCTAAAACACCACCACGACGAGGTATATCTGTTGGTAAACGTGGTGGTGCATTGGGATCTTGTAATGGGATTTGATTATTATTATTATTATCGTAATTGATGGACGACATTTATCGTATAATAAGTTGAGAAATAAGTG